ACACACACACACACACACACACACACACACACACACACACACACACACACACTCTCTCTTCTCTCTCACTCTCTCTTTAAAAAAAAAAAAAAGAAAAATCAATACAACATTGGTCTCTCCCACTGTATAGATATGAGGAGTCTATTGAAAGTAAGCAGAAGAAATACCAAGTCCAGCTCTAAGAAGGATGGGGGAAGGTGTGTGCCAAAGCTGCTGGTGGATTAGCTTCAGGGTCAATGTGTACTTACCCTGAGAAGCATATTTTTCATGGTAAATATTATAGGCCTTTTTGTGGGCATCAGTGACAGTCTGGAGACGAGAAGCTCTTGATTCCTGGTGAGGAAGATCCATCATTACTTCCTCCAAGTCACCAAAGGTGAACCAGATCCCAACTAGGTCCCCAAAGGTGTAGAAGGCAAATGTGGCATAGTCAGCAAAGAGATCAGCAAAGCCTTTGTTTCTCTGCACAGGGCTGGTGGGTAGGGTCTGGTGGTGCAGCACAACCATGGGCTCAAGCTTCGCAGTCCTGAGGGCCTTGAGGAGTTGTCGGTAGCAATGCACTGTTTTCTCATCTGGATTCTTGGAGCTTCCTGATGGGAGAAGTTGTGCCCATGACAGAAATACTTTATAATGGGTGATCTTACTGGCATGAAGATTGCTGAAGTATTCTGGCAGGAAAGAGGGCAGTGGCTGGTGACAAACATAAATGTCCTTGTCCCCAGCTACAAAATTCAAACTCTGGTTTCCCAGTGGATAGCTTGGGTTGTGCAGCAAATCATTAGTTAGAGGACCAGCAGCTGAAATGAAATTTCTGTCAGATTCCCAGTCTAACCCCTCACATGAAAAACTTAGTAGAAYAATAAAGACTACATTCTGAGACAGYTCCATTTTCAGGGAACTGTTAGGTATATGGAAGGAATCCTGACTTTATAACAACAGCTGAGGTTGTAAAATTCTACATGATTATTAACAATATTTAACCTGGTTATCTATGGTAGTGAAAGAAGTACATGGTTCACTAATATTTAAAAATTTAAAGACGATAAGAAATAACATGAAACCCTCAAATTATCCATTGAATTTAAGCAGAAGAACCTAGAAAATATCTGGGAAAAAATTCTCCACTTTTTGTCTATTATTTTAAAATTTATTTTTTCGTAGGGTGGGGGACCAGGAATTAAACTCAGGGGCACTCAACCACTGAGCCATATCCCTAGCCCTATTTTGTATTTTATTTAGAGACAGGGTCTCACTAAGTTACTTAGTGCCTCACTTTTTGCAGAGGCTGGCTTTGAACTCATGATCCTCCTGTCTCTAGCCTCCCGAGCTGCTGGGATTACAGGTGTGCACCACTGCACCTGGTACTTCAAAATTTCTTGACATATTATAAACAGAAATAAGTCCCTCAACAACTCCCCCCACCACTTTGAAAATATGTGAACAGCTGGGCAAGGTGGCACACACCTGTTATTCTAGCAACTCTGGAGACTGAGGCAGGAGAATGTGTGTTYTAGGCCAGTATTGAATTTAATGAGACCCTGTCTCAAAACTTTAAAAATGTTAAAGGGTTGGGGAAGTAGCAGTGGTAGGGGTTCCTGGGTTTAATCCCCAGAACTACACACACTCCTATGCACAAAAAGCAAACAATGAATACATCTTGTAAAATATTTAAATATRGAAACATCTATGAAAACCTTGCAAATTCTCCTTTGATCACTTCCATATTCTTTCTAGAATAAACATCTTCAACAATGTGGATTCTTCCAGCTTGCTTTTTAAAAAAAAAAAATTGGCACATTATAATTTCTTCCTATTTCCTTTCGACACATGGCATAATGGTTATTCAAGTTTATGGGCTGGGGATGTGGCTCAAGTGGTAGCGTGCTCACCTGGCATGCGTGCGGCTCGGGTTCGATCCTCAGCACCACATACAAACAAAGATGTTGTGTCCGCCGATAACTAAAATAAATAAATAAATATTAAAAAAAAAAAAAAAACAGGATAGAAAAAATTTTCTCCTAATTTGGTTCCCTAGTGTCTTCAACATATATTAACTAGTACCAGTTTCTAAAAAGAAAAAAATATCTCAGGTCAAACCTACCTAATATTTGATTATTCTTTTTATATCTTCAGGTCTTTAACCCACCCTGAATTTTAACGGTACATATTGTATGGCAGGCCAATTTCTAATATGCTATTGAATAGGCTGTTCTTCCCCATTTTTCCCCCACTACTAGGGATTGAACTCAGGGGTGCTCTGTTACTAACCTGTATTCTTGGTCCTGTTTAGTCTTTGAGACAGTCTCAACAAATTGCAAAAATCGGCCTTGAATTTGTGATTCTCTGCCTCAGCCTCTCAAGTCATCATTCTGAACTATTTGAAATGCTAATTTATCAGGAAAGAGAGAAAAACTATATGTGCAGAAGTTTATAGATTTCCACATATTCCAGCACCACTAACACACTATTTTAATTTCTATACCTGTGTAGTATTTTTTTTTCTTTCTGACAGGACAAGGCCTCTCCTATCATGCATTCTCCCAGAATCTTCTTGGAAGTGTTTATATATTTCCTCTTGCATGTGTCCTGGAGATAGTCCCCATTTCACAATATCTATGACTATGTAATTTTGTGTGTAAACCAATGCTACAACTTATGATTTCCTTACTGGTGGATATCTGTTGACATTTGGTTAAAAATCCTTTAAATTTATATATCAGTTGACAACATTACAAAATTCAAAACTTTTCCTTTTGGAACAGTCTATACTCAAATATTTTTCTAATTTTCATCAAGATCTTATACATGCTCTATAACCCATTTACCACTTTAGCTCCCTATCAAGTACTGCATTAAGAAAGAGGATGTGTAAGCACACATTTTCAGCCATGAAAATGGATTTCATTGTTTGCAGTCATGATCTTGCTCTGGAGTGGGATGGCAGGACTGGAGGGGAGAGGACAAATTCACCAAAAAGGAAGGCATTTTTCCTGGGTTTAAAGTTTTCTTTGGGGTATATATTTGGTCAAATTAATGTTTCAGTTCTAGTCAAGTTGTTTCCTTTCAGGATCTCCCCACCCCAAATCAGTAAAGAAACTTCCTACTACACCTACCAGTGATACCTGCCTGCGGGGGCGGGGCTCAGACCCAGAGGACGGAGGGGCGTGGCGTAAAGAGGTGTGGCCCGAGGGAGAGGGAGGGGCGAAATAGGAAAGAGGCTGGGGAGTTGGGGGAGGACAGGGAGGGAGGTGCGAGTTGGGCTGGGGAGCGGWGTCTAGAGTGCTAGACGGAGTTGAGGGGAGGAAGGGGTGGAGCGGGAGGGAGGGGACAGGGCTGGATGGGGAAAAAAAAAAAAAAACAACTTCCTACTAGACATGGGAGAGGGCTTTCTTGCGTTTTTACCATGAGCCTCCTCATCCCATTGTCAGTGTCTCAACCTTGTTAATTAGGAACATACATTGACAGTAACTTTTACCCTGCATTTACTGTGGAATTCCTCTATGCACTTCCAGATCTCCTCACCCCATCATTCTCAAGTCAGGTTTCTTTTCTTCTGAGACTGGGTCACTACATTGCACAGGCTGCTCTTAAACTCCTGGGCTTAAGCAATCCTCCTACCTCAGCCTCCTGAGAGGCTGGGACTATAGGCACATGCCAATGTACCTGACTGGAGAACTTAACCACACAGAAACTCACTGGTCGTGCAGACCCCTAGAAGGCCATCTGCTGTTAAAGGTGGCATCATGCTGGGGCACTATTAACAAGGAGTCTGCCCTACCCACACTGCCTCTCTGGCTCCTCCCCAACCCCCATGGTTCTGGTTCCATCCTTTCCTCTGTTCACAAACTACCTCTGGACAGTTGTGTTGATTTTTTTTCAGTATTTCATTCTTAGACACCAGTCACTGCTGATACCAGTGCCAGGMGTTCATCCTCTTGCCTCCCCTGTTCTGCCACATTCCCCTCTCCCCCCAAGGTGTTCCTCATGGGGAAGGGGGACTGGGGTGCAAAAGGCTGCCTTACTTACTACCCCAGTCCCAGGGAAGGGGGGSTCCTGCCCCTAGGATGCTGCAGCAGAGGAGATCCATGTTGAAAAAAAGGGTGTTGGGGCCGCCTCCCCTTGTTCTGTCGGAGAGGAGAGGGTTTGTCCCAGCCTGGGGCCTCCCTCTGGAGGAACACAAATTTGAGGCCAACCCAGGCAGCTTAGTGAGACTAAAAATAAATAAAAAAGAGCTAAGGACATAGCTCAGCCCCTGCATAACGCTTTGGGTTTATCCTAGCACTGGCCTCCCACCTCTCCCCCCAAAAAGGAAAAAGAATAAGAGAAAAAAAATTAAGACATCATGGTGGCTCAGTGGTTCTRGGTTCAATCCCAGTATTACAAAAAAGTTTTTTTTTGGGTCATAGCTAAATCTTATGGAGAGCAAGAATTTTTTCTGTATTATAAACTGTCTTCAAATTTTTTGACTTAAAAGAAATTATTAAAGAGTAATGAAAAAAAATTAATGAAAAACTTTTTTATGAATTACCTTAAAAAAAAAAAGACACTGGAATTACTCTTGGAAAGTCATCTCCAAGGTCTCTAGCTTTCATTCTCTCTAGTGACTCCTCTTCAAGGAACCTAATTCCAAATCCATAATGCCACCCACACCTTCACCCCAGATTAGCAAAAAAGAACTAGCACTTGAAAATATATGGACATGATAATCACAGCAGAGTAGAAATAAATCCAACAGACACTTCAGAACAAGTTATTTTATTTTGATGAATAAAAGCAGCAGTTGGCAACTGGAAAAGTGATTTCCTTGATAGATAGGATAAACTATATACCATGAAAGTGACAGGTCTCCTCCTCACATGAAAACGAAGGTCTCAGTTCCAGAAACCGCACGTTATTGGGGGTCCCAACTTTTATTAAGACAAGAAATACACAAGGAATAAGCTGAAGCCCATGTTGATAGAAAGCATGTAATAGATGTGATACACAGGACCATCACCTCAGTTCCTATTTCTCAAAACAAATTCTGAAGCATCATTCCCAGAAACAATTCTCATCCTAGCAGAGCTCCATCCAGGCTCCAGGTCAGGAGGTGGTGTGGCACAGTGACTTAGCTCTGGTCAGTTACTTTCAACATCTCAATCTTCAAGCAAGTAGTTAGGGTTAACTACCAAGTAGGGATCTTCTTCATAGCTCTCACTTCCTTCTGTGGAGCCTTTCAATCCAGCTTGGGTGAGCTCAATTAGAACATGGTCCTATAAAACAAACATTTCCCTCAGGTCTCTGGCAGTATTATAAAAATGTTCAGACACACTTTTAAATTTATTTTTGTAGTACTGGGGATTAAACCCAGGGTGTCTTACCACTGAGCTACACCCCCAGCTCTTTGAGACAGGGTATAAGTTGYGTAGGGCCTCACTTAGTTGATGAGGCTGGCCTCAAACTTGCAAACCTCCTGACTTAGCCTCCAGAGAATTGCTGGGATTACAGATGTGCACCACTGTGCCTGGCAAAAAAAGGTCCAGATATACTAATCCTTCTGAAGGTTTATCACCGATATCTGTTTGATTTCACCATCCAAAACTTCCAGGACAAGGACTATTCCTTACAATCACTATCAGTGTTCTGCTAAACACCCTTTCCATTAGGTTGCTGAACTTTTCATACAATAAACCTTAAAAAAAAAATTAAAGAAACATAAGCAAGCTCAACAGGTAATGTGATTTTAATGTTTCCTGGCACATTACATCCAATGATTATAAATATAACTTYGAAAAAAGTAATGCTTGAATGTGGGGAAAAATAAGATAATGCTTGAGTTTTAAAATTATGCAAAATTCTCTAATATTTAAATCTGTTTAATTTTATTTAATATTATCTACTTAAGCCAAAGTAGAAAATGCTTTTTTTTTTTTTTTTGCAGTGCAGTGGCTTGAACCCAGTGCTTTGTGCATGCTAGCAAGTGCTCTACCAGTAAGCTATACCCTCAACCGTTTTKTGTACTGGGGACTGACCCCAGGGGCAAGTTACAACTGACCTACATATCTACCTATCTATCCATCCATCCATCCATGCACTGTGGATTTAAACTGCTGAGGCTGGCCTTGAGTTTGTGATCCTCCTGCATGAGTCTCCTGAACTGCTGGGATTACAGGCATGTGCCAATGCACCTAGCTAAAATTTCTTTTTTTTTAAAAGGAGACTGTTAAATATTAAAAAAAATTAAAGACACATTATTTATTTTTTAGTTGTAGTTGGACACAATACCTTTATTTTTATTTATTTATTCTTATGTGGTGCTGAGGATCAAACCCAGGGCCTCGAACATGCTAGGCAAGCGCTTTACCACTGAGCCACAYGACCCCAGCCCGCTAAAATTTCTTTAATCCTTGAAAGTATCAAGTTCAGGACTGGATGCATAGAAAACGTGCAGACCTGAGATCTGGAAACATTAAACAAAAACCAGAGTTTGAGACTTGAATGATAGGATTATATGGCTGACTTTTCTATTCAGATTCTCTTACGGAGAAAGATCCTTAGTCAATTACCATTAATAATCACTGCCAATCACAACCACAATGCTTATTTTGATAAACGTAATGGAACTTTGAAAACCTCTGACTAATGAATATCACATGGAGACTTTCAGTCTTCTTTATTCTGATAAGATAAAGTTGTTTTATAGTTATTCAAAGACTGGCCCAATGGATCCATTTCACCTTTCATATATTTTCACGATKTAGCCTATTATCATATCAGCACATGCAGAATGTGGCATATGCTTAATCTTTCAGAATGTCTTATGCTCCTGAGTCACTAGGATTACAGTACGTGCCACTGAGCCCAGCCTTAAATTCAAGTATAGTATATTTGTTAATTAGTTGAAAATATCCATATATGAGAAGAGCTTTTAGCCAACCCCATGGAAAAGAACTGATTTGATCCTAAGAATAGTTTGGCAGCTGGGCACAGTGGTGCACACCTGTAATCCCAGGAGTTTGGAAGGCTGAGGCAGGAGGATCAGGAGTTCAAAACCAGCCACAGCAAAAGTGAGGYGCTAAGCAACTCAGTGAGACCCTGTCTCTAAATAAAATACAAAATAGGGCGGAGATGTGGCTCTGTGGTCAAATGTCCCTGAGTTCAATCCCAAGTACAAACAAAAGTAGTAGTAGTTTGGCAATGCCCCATAGTTAGAGCACTGCTGCCACTATGGGGGACTGGACCCTTTGAAGCACTCTATCATATTGATCAGCACCGCACAGGTTCTCTTGTCTTGAACTGGAAAATCCTATCATTCAGTGGCAAGTCAAACTAAAAAGAACCTTGATTCAGATCAGTTAGCTCCCTGGTATGTTCTATAATCCTCACACAAATTTCTTGTCTGGATATTTTATGTTGTATTGATCCCRTGGAGCACTAGGGAGGGGGAGGAAAGGCCTGGCCTATGCAAAGACATTTCCCACCACTAGAAAGACAACTCTGTTATGCAYGCTACCTCAATCCAGTCTAAATTTTCATACAAGTTATTTACTAGAYCCTGACCTGAGCATTAGTTATCACCCCTCTACACACACTATAATCACATATCCATCTAAACCCCACAGGTAATGTTTTCAGGTGATACAACCCTAACACATGAGGTGTAATATTTAAATAGTGAGCACTACTGAGTGAATGGGCATGATGGTTGCCTCTCTGCCATGTGAACCGGAAAATCCTATCATTCAATAAATACTTGACCCCTCTATGTTGTAGGTACCACTGTACATTCCAGAAATATAGCAGTGAATAAAACAAAGTTTTATTTGGCCCTCCAAGAATGGAGCTTACATTCTGAGAGTGATAAACTAAACACCTAAGTAAAGAATAAACAATAAAAACTATCGTGAAGCAACACAAAGCAGGATGATAGAGAAGGCTGTTATTGGGACATGTTGGGCAAAAAAGGCTTCTTTGAGAAGGTAACATTTGAAGAGACCCCAGAAAAAAGAGACAAAGGCAAGTGCAAAGCCCTTCATGTTTGGTGTATCTAAGGAATAATGACAAGGCCAGTGTCAYTGGCGAGGAATGGGCAAAAAGGAAGAGAGCTATGAAACAAATGAGAGACAGGGGCTAACCTGTGCCAGATTCTGCATGGCATGCCAAGGAGACTGAATTTTATTCTAAATGTGAATAAAGCACTTAATAATAGGGAAGAAAAATAACCTATGTTCTGTTCTAAAAAACCCTGACTGGCTTCGGGGCAGAGCCAATATTCAAGTGGATGTAGGGGTTCAGGCCTGGTGACCTGGGTAAGCTGGAGAACTCATTAGKTCTTTTCATTAAAAGAACAGAGGAATTAAGGATTGTTCCAAGGTATCTGGCCTATAGCAACTGAATAAATGGGAAAACAGAGGAAGAGGGAAAGAAAGAACTTTTTTCTTTTGTGGTACTGGGGATTAAACCCAGGGGTGCTCCATAACAGCCCTTTTTATTTTGAGACAGGGTCTCATCAAGTTGCTGGGATTATAGGYACGCATCACTATGTTCYACTAAGAACRCTGTTTTGAACACATTAAGGGCAAAAAGTCTATTAGTTCATTCTGCGGTCAACTGATTATATACATCTGGAGTTTATAGGAGAAGTGAGAGAGATAGCTATAAATTTGGGAGTCATCAACAGATGGATGAATTCATAAAACCAAATGAGAATGCCTACACTAAAGACATTTGTGTCTATTATCTAAAAAGAGAGAAAGATTCAGGAAAAGAAACTAAATGACACAAAAGACGAAGGAGAAGGGGAAGGTAGTTTTCTAGAAGGAGTAATCAACTAACAAATGCTGCAGACAGACTGAATACTGAGAATGACCAGCTGATTMAAGGGATGGAGAAAAGCAATGCAATAGTTAAGAGTGGAAAAATGAACTGTCTAAGGAAAAGCAACAGTGCTTTACAGTTATTGTGAAGTTGACAAAACAAAAAGTTAAGAACTGGGCTGGGGTTGTAGCTCAGTGGTAGAGTGCTTGCCTAGCACATGCAAGGCCCTCGGTTTGATCCTCAGCATCATATAAAAATAAATTAATAAAATAAAAGTACTGTGTCCAACTACAACTAAAAAATAAATATTAAAAATTAAATTTAACCAAGGCTGGGGTTTTGACAAGTAAGATAAAGAGAGAAGAAAGCTGAAGAAGAAGAAAAAAAAGATTATTGGACTGGATAAGATGGGAGATAAGGATATAAGAAAGATGAAATACAAAAAACAGGTGATAATGCTGGAAAATAAGAGGTTTAAAACTAAAAATACCCAGTTAAGATACCAAAGCCACTTTCTCTGATTTCCCCCCAATTCTGCTTGTTTTAGCAAAGGAAGTTATTTACTTGTTAACACCCCAATAATTCAAGGTAAACACATTAAAAATACATTTTGTTAATGAGCTCATATAGATAGGAGACATGAACTCCCTCATTAATTACTAAAGCAAATGCCATTATGTACATACATAGTGCGTGAGTCGATGAATGACTTTCTCTATGATCCTCTTTTTATTTATAAGCTCCTCTTCAGAGTCTATTTCTGATTCGATTTCCTTCAAGTACCAGTTAACAAGCTCGCTCCTCTTTAATGCTGACTCATCCTCCTCTGCAACAAAAAAATGCATTTTACAAGAATTCAGTAAACATTCCTTGGGGGTTTGCAAACACAAGATAATGTACAGACAGATAACCATCAACCTGTCACAAAGTACATCTGCTGAAATAAGGTTTACTATGTTTCAGCATTAAGCCGGAAATAACTTATCATATTATTTGTATTAAAGTACACTTTATCCAGAAAAGAAAAACCTGATAAAACAGAGATAAGATAAGTGTCCTAAAGCTATTAAGATCTCAAAGTATGAAGGTCTTTCCTTCATGTTATGCTTCATCACTAAGAGAAACTGAAAGCATAAATTAGGAGCAAAGCAACAGCAAGCAAAAACTTCTTAGATATAAATTTCCTCTTTGGCACTGGAGTAAATTCACAGGTGGTCCTTCAAAATAAAAAATTAACAATTTATTCTATCAAGGTCTATCCATGCCAACTTAATAGCTGTTCAAGGTAGAACTCTCACAAGAAAAGCTGGAACCTAGATAACACAATCACCATCGATATAAAGGGTAATAAAAGAAAACTCTACTTTTTGGTTCAGGCAGTTTCAAATAAAATACAAAATCAAATCAGGAAAATTCTAGGGAACTAAAACTCAGAACAGACCTGGGTTCAGTGCAYACTGGGCCCTGGGTTCAATCCCCAAGMACCAGCAAAAATAAAAAACATCAAAAAAGGTAAATTTTTAATTTATTAGTCCCTTTTCAGGGTCTAATGCAGATTTAATTTTCTTCCAAGTAATAGTTAATGCCTCTGAAAAGTTTTATTATGGCTGCAGTAAAACTTCAGTGTTTTTGTCCAAAAGTTCTTGAACAAGTGACTTCCACGGTTTAAAGTTGTATTCCCTATGCTAGAAAACAGCTAATTACTTGGGGACTGAGAAATAACAAGTTACTTGATTCGGTAAGAAGAGAAAACCAAGTAAAATTTACTTGTGGGGGCTGGAGTTGTAGCTCAGTGGTAGAGCACTTGCCTCATACGTGTGAGGCACTGGGTTCGATTCCCAGCACAACACATAAATAAGCAAATAAAGTAAAGGTCCATCAACAACTAAAAAAAATACTTGAAAAAAAAAACTTTACTTGTGGAATGCAATGTCTGGGTGATAATCATGTCTTTCTTCCATCAACAGTTTGCTATGTTTAAAACTTAAGTTACAGGGGCTGGAATTGTAGCTCAGTAGTAGAGCACCTGCCTAGCATGTGTGAGGCACTTGGTTAGATTCTCAGAACTGCCTATAAATAAAGAAAATAAAGGCCCATTACCAACTTAAAAAAAAAAAAAAGAAAAAGAAAAACCCAGGGCTGGGGTCATGGCTCAGCGGTAGAGCACTCAGCATGTGTGAGACCATGGGTTCGATCGTCAGCACCACATAAAAATAAATATGTGAAATAAAGGTATTGTGTCCAACAACAACTAAAAATTAAATATAATAATAATATA